CTGTTGTAGTATCACATGTCATGGAGTATCAAGAAAATTCTGCTCTACGCTTGTGAGATAAATGAGAGAGAAGAGGCAAATAACATCTTCGTACTAATTTAGAATTTGTTTGGAACTTGCAGACCGCCTGGAAGTTTCTTGGGAACCCCCAGACAACACTTTGAGAACCACTGGGCTAGGTACTAGGGAGCCATTGAAGGTTTCTAGAAGGGGGAGAGACAGCCTCAACAGTTTCCAGAAGTATCCTCTGGCAGGTGATATGTCAGGCGGATTGAAAGGAGGCAAAGGCCATGGCTGGTCCAGGTCCCACCCAGGGCAGGAGCTGTTGGGGTGGAGAGCTGGGCTGGGGCCAGGGAGAGAACGTGGCTTCCAAGGAAGGGGTGCCCACGAGAGGAGAGCTGGAGCAGTCCCTCCTGCAGCTTACTCATGCTGAGCCTTTGCTATCCTGGGCCCCCAGACTAGGCTCCGGGGCCAGCACTGATGGCTCAGGAGCCTGCATCCCATCCTCCTCAGCTTGGGAGTGTTGTAAGAAGAGGCAAGACTTCACCTTTGGTTCCAGAAGAAGGAACAAAAGGATTCTCCTTAGCTCATACCCAAGATCAGGAGGCAAAGTCACATTTGTCCCTATTGTTCTGCAAACGCTTGCCCATCCAACTGACCAGTGGGAGCGGGTGTGCTGACGATGGTACCTGTGGACGTGCATTTCACAACCCTGATCAAAGCTTCCAGAGTGTCTCACCCACCATTCAGAGATCACACTCCTTGGTATTTACCCAAAGGAACTGAAAATACATATCCACCCAAAAACCTGCACGTGGAGGTTTGAGCAGCTTTATTCAAAATTGCCAAAACTTGGAAGAACCAAGATGTCCTTCAGTAGGATAAATAAACTGTGGCCCATCCAGACAGTGGAATATGACACAGCATTAAAAAGAAATGAGCTATCAACTCATGAAAAGACATGGAGGAACCCTAAATCCTATTACTAAGCTAAAGAAGCCTAGTATATGAAAAGGCTACATACTGGATGATTTCGACTATATGACATTCTGGAAAGGGCAAAACTATAGGGACAGTAAGAAAAAAAAATCAGTATCATCAGGAGTTCAGAAGGAGGGAGGGATGAATTGGTAGAGCACAGAGAATTTTGAGGGCAATGAAACTGTTCTGCATACTATAAAGTAGATGCATGTCATTGCACATTTGTCCAAACCCATAGGATATACAACACCAAGCGCAAACCCTAATATAAACTGTGGACTGTGGGTGATAATGATGTGTCAGTGTGGGCTCATCATTATAACAAATGCCCCACTCTGGCGGGGGTGCCGGTAATGGAGGACGCTGTGTGTGCATAGGGGGCAGGAAGTATATGAGAACTCTTCACTTTCTGCTCACATTTGCTGTGAACCTAAAACTACTCAGAAAAATAGTCTATTAAAAAGCAAACTAGGGCACCTGGGTGGCGCAGTCGGTTAAGTGACCAACCCTTGGTTTCAGCTCAGGTCATGATTTCAGGGTCATGAAATGGGGCCCCACATCGGGCTCCGCACTCAGTGGGGAGTCTGCTTGAGATTCTTGCTCCATCTCCCTCTGCCCCTACCCCCTCTCTAAAATAAATAAATAAAATCTTAAAAAAAAAACCCTTCAGGTGGAGGCTCCAAGCCTGGCATTATGTTTCCCCTAGACTCTGACCCCTACCTGCCCTTTCTGCCTCCTCTCCTGGGCTTCCTTGCTTACATTCTACAGAGAGGGGGTATGCGGTGATGTTTTGGTGGGTGGTTATGCTGAAACATCTGCTGGGAACCCCTGCTCTCAAATGACCCACATTAGAATGGCCTTCTGGCTCTAACACGTGTCCACAGGTAGAAAACATACTGCATGGGGGCGCCTGGGTGGCTCAGTCGGTTAAGCGTCTGCCTTCGGCTTGGGTCATGATCCCAGGGTCCTGGGATCGGGCCCCGCGTCGGGCTCCCTGCTCAGCGGGAGGCCTGCTTCTCCCTCTTCTACCCCCTCTGCTTGTGTTCCCTCTCTTGCTGTGTCTCTCTCTGTCAAATAAATTAAATCTTAAAAAAAAAAAGAAAGAAAGAAAACATACTGCATGAAGCTGAATTGTGATTAAGACTTTGGCTCTAAAGTCTACCTCCTGGGTGTGGGTCTTGGCTCTTACAGGGGCTGGAAGCACATTACTCAGCTTCTTAGAGTACAGCCTCTTTGCCCATAATGTGAGTGTTGGAGCATCAACCTCTCTTAGGGTTTGGAGAGGATGAAATGAGATGAGGTGTGCAAAGTATGTAGTACAAGGCCTAGGGAGACAGACAAACTTAGACACAGTCCCTAAAAGCTGACAAATTAGAGGAAGAAGCTGATATCCTCAGACCTGGGGTTGAATAGGGGGACAAATGTCCAGCTTTGGAATCAGAGACTAATTTCTACCAGGGAAATCTGTAACACCTTCTTGGTAAGGGTGAGATTAGAACAAGGCTTCAAAGAATGGGTCCTTCCTTCCTTCCTTCTTTTTTTTTTTTAAGATTTTTTTATTTATTCATTTGAGACACAGAGATACAGAGAGAGAGAGCATGAGCAGGGGGAGAGGCAGAGGGAGAGGGAGAAGCAGGCTCCCTGCAGAGCCAGGAGCCCGATGCGGGGCTCAATCCCAGGACCCTAGGATCATGACCTGAGCTGAAGGCAGATGCTTAACCATCTGAGCCACCCAGGCACCCCACATTCATTCATTCTTTTAACACAGATTTATGGAGTGTTTGCTACTTTCCATAGGAACAGCGTGAACAAAGGTCCTGTGGCAGGAGGGGTGGGGCATACCAGGGAAACAGTGAGTAGGCAGCATTTAGGGATGGTTGGTGGGAGATCAGCATGACAAGGTCCCCATGGCTTAGACTCTGTGGAACTGTCTGTTCTTTGCCAGAATGGTTACGTGACTTAATGTGGCAGACAAGAAAGTATACTGTTCAGTTGTCCCTTTGGGAAGACCTGCTGTGAAGAGGTTAGCTGGCTGACTATTCTCCACATCTGTGTGTATATCCAGCTGCACAGAATGAAGGCTAGAGAGCAATAAACAGAAGTGCTAGCAGATATTATCTCTAAGTAGAGATATTGCTTTCTTTATGCATTTCTATATTTAAAAATGTTCCCTTGTAAATATAGATCATGTAAATAATCTGAAATATATGTTTTAATACATTTTTTAAATTAAAGCTTGAGTGGGGTCCCAGTTTTGGGAGCAGATGATGGAGCATATCTGTCCTTCAGGCCTTGAGGAACAAGTCTTCCCAGTGCAACAGAGAACTGTGACTCCCAACCTACAAGGAGGCCTCAGCTCTGCTCTAAAAGGAGGAATTTGGGATGCGGTGTCAAAGTCAAAGCCCAAGTGAAAGCCTGGACTCAAATCCTGACTCTACTATAGACTGGCCCTATGATCTTGGGCAACTTTTTCTTCCCTTGAGTCTTGGTTTCAACTATAAAATGGGACTAATAATAGTCTTTATATCATAAGGATGCTACAAGGATTCCACAAGCATTTGTGAAAACTGCCTGTCAATGCCAGCTACTGTTATAGATGGAAAAGCTGAGGCCCAGAAAGGCCATGGGAGCTGTCCAGTATCAAAAAGCAATGTATAGGTAGAGTCAGGCTGGACCCCAAGGCTCTCTCAACTGAGGCCAGGGTACATGCACCCTTGCCTCCACTCAGAGCAGACTGGTGGCTTCATCCCTCACTGATGGGACTGGGTCCACCTCACTCATGGCACAAATGAGGAAACCTGCAGGACAGGGCCATGAACAAGAGTCATGAACACAGGGGTGCCTGGGTGGCTCAGTCATTAAGCGTCTGCCTTCAGCTCAGGTCATGATCCCAGGGTCCTCGGATCGAGCCCTGCATCAGGCTCCCTGCTTGGCGGGAAGCCTGCTTCTCCCTCTCCCACTCCCCCTGCTTCTGTTCCCTCTCTCGCTGTGTCTCTCTCTGTCAAATAAATAAAGAAAATCTTAAAAAAAAAAAAAAAGAAAGAAAGAAAGAAAGAGTCATGAACACAGTCTCCAGACTATCTCAATGCTCCCTACCTTCTCTGCCCCTCTGCATTTGGTGAGATTCGTGATGTACAGTTTGAAATATGTTATTGACACATCAGTTGAGGCCCTAACCCCTTAATCCCCCAGGCCTTCTATGCAGGAATGTTTGCTTTGGAGGTATTAGACGGACGTGGTGAGAATGAGGGCTCTCATCAGTTTCCCAGCTGTCCATCACCCAGTGCCACGTCTCCACGGCAAGGGGGTCACTCACCATTTATAAAGTCTGCCCCACTGTAGAGCCCATCCAGAATCAACTGACGGAGACCCAGGGCATCACAGTGGTCCTGAAACTGACTCTACTTACCTGGGATCCCCACAGGTACTGCCCCAAGATGCTGAAAGTCTCAGGTCTCCTTCTCATCCTCTATGGGCTGCTTGCCCTGTTGTCTGCTCAATATTTGAATAATTGAATCACCTGTGGGTCTGTTGTATTGTATATTTTAATTTCCTGGATTTCAGTTCATTTGTCCTGTGTGTGTGTGAGTGTGTGTGCGCATGTGCTCTGTAATTTTTAATTGGATGCTAGACATTATGATAAAAATTATAGAGGATCTGAATGGTGCCATCTTTTTCCAAAGAGGGAGGAAGATAGCTGAAAGATAGAATTTAAGTGGATTGCTTTGATTCTGCTGAGGCTTAGATTTATGTTTTATGAGGGTGAAACCTATATATAGGTTGTGTGGCCTTGGGCAGGTGACTTCATCTCTTGGAATCTTCATTTCTTGCTCTATACTGTGAGGAGAAGCATGTCTCCTCTCTGAAACTCACTGGCCCCATCTGTAGAATAGGCCACATGAGTTCTGTAGCCACCATAGACCGAAGCTCTGGGGAGACCCTCTCATAGGATTCTCTCTCAGAGAATGACCCCGCAGCTGACCCTCTCTGCCTGCTCCCCCACAGGTGCCTGACCCAAGATGCTAAAGGTCTCCAGCCTCTTCATTCTCTTCTGTGGGCTGCTGGCCTCATCCTCTGCTCAAGAGGCCCTGTCCAGAGTTTCTTCCCAGATCACCAATGGTGAGACTCTCCTGCCTTGGGTCACACCTGGCCTTGTCAGAACCTTAGGCCTCTCCTAAAAGTCTAGACCGTGAGCCAAGGTGGGTTAAGTTCTAATTAGCATTGTGCCTGGGAGGCAGTTAACATGTAATTATTAGCTGCTCTGATCATCACTACATTACTATATTTAATACTGTTCTCCCAAGATTCCCCTCTTTCCTGTCTCCTTGCCCTGGTCTATCTATTCAAAGGCCCAGCCCCACCTGGACTGGCCCCTGCTCACCTCTTCTACTACCCCCCATTCACTGGCTCCCCTCCTGCCACAGTAGCCTCCTCAACACATGGAGCACACCCCAGGACCTTAGCACTTGCTGTTCCCTCTGCCTGGAACACTCTTCCACTAACTATCAATGTGGCTCTCTCCCTTCTTTCAAGTCTCTGCTAAAATGTTGCATTTGCAGAAGACATTCCTTGACATCCTTGCATGAATTACTGCCCTCACCCCATATTCTCAATTCCTCAATCTGCCTTTTATTTTTCCCTCATGACAAAAATAGCTTCAGCAGAATGCATGGTATGGCTGTGGTGGTTAAAATACCGAAATGTTTTTCTACACTCCTTGGGAAGTAGCCCCTGCCCAAAGACTCCCCATGTGGTACCCTCATCACCCCAACCATCCCGCCTTCAGCCCCAGGACTTCCAGCCTCCTCACCAACCAAAATCTAATGAGTCAACCCCTGGCACAGCCCAGGAGTCACAGGACCTGGCTACAGAGCTATGGCTGATGTCCTTTCTGATTGGTTGGTGCCTGTGCCCAGCTGGTTGTTGAATATTTTGAAACCAGCCTCTTCACAGCACTTATCTGTACTTGACTCACACATGTCCCTTTACTCACTACTTTATCATCTCTCTTCCCTCATCCCCACCAGAACGCCAGCTCCACGAGGGCAGAGAGTGCTGCCTGTTCTCACGGGTACAGCCTGGCATGGCCCTGGCACACAGTAGGCCTCTACAAATATTTGCTGAATGACTGTGCCTAGAACTTGGCCCAGCCCCAGGCAGGCCAGGAAAACTAGGTGAATGAGGAGTAAGATCCATATGTGGGACATGCTCAGAGGTCAAGGCTGCATCTGAGAATCTTTGGCATCTAAATGTCTAATGGTGGGGGTCGGGGGGGCGGACAGGTTGTTTTTCAGCTTTGACACAAGAACTCCTTGGTACAAACATTCTTTCCGCCCTGCAGACAATTGACTTCCAGGGGTCGCTGAAGAATGTCTTCATCCTTGCAAGAGGCAACCAGGACATCCTGGCGGCCTGCTCACCAACAGAGGTGCCAATTTAACGTGAGTGGTCTCTGATCAGAACACCCCATGTCTAGACTGTCCTGGTTTGTTGGTTTGTGAGCACCCTCCTGGCATTTTCTGACTCTACAGAGGCCCTTTCCTCAACTAACAGCCCTTCCCACTCTGATGGACTAAGACCCACTGGTGGAGAGAAATTCCCACTGGGGGTAGAGGCAGAAGCTAGGGAGATGCTGAAGACTTGGGTTCAGTCTCTCTGTCTGGGAAGAGAATGGCTGCTCACTTCCAGTCTCTTCCCCTCTCTGAGACTCAACTCCTACCCCTGTTACATGGGGAACTATAGCCTCTGACCCCATGGGACTGTTGTAAATATTAAGTGAAATAATACAGGTCATGTGCTTATACAGCTCCCTGTCCTCAGTAAGCCCCCAGTCAGCAGTACCAGTTATAATAACGTCTACAGTAACAATGTGGCAATCACAAAAATCGATGCCATCTGGCCAGCAGAGCCTAGAAGACCCAGGGCCCGGGGCGCCTGCGTGGCTCAGTCGGTTAAGTGTCTGACTGGCTCAGGTCATGATCTCAGGGTCCTGGGATCAAGGCCCATGTCAGGCTCCCCACTCAGCAGGGTCTGCTTGTCCCTCTCCCTCTACCCCTCCCCCTGCTCATGCTCTTTCTCTCCCTCTCAAATAAATAAAATCTAAAAAAAAACGAAGAAGACGACGATGACGACTCAGGGCCCTCTTCTTAGTACGTTCAAAACTGCTGATGACTCCCACCCCCGTCCAGCCTACTCCTCCCTCAGGCCAGCCCATCTTAGCTAATGAAACTCCACCCATCCAGTCGCTCTGACCTAAAATCCTGACCTCATCCAGTGCCCCTCTCTTCACTCACAGCCCCATGCAGCCTGTCCACACACCCTGTCAGCCAGGCACCTGACCATTTTCAGCACCTCCTCTGGTCTGAACCACCACCATCTCCCTCTGACTTATGGTCCCAGGTCCCCTTGCTTCCACGGCAAGCCCCCTCCTCCTCCATTCTGTTCCACCTATAACCAGAAGCATCGTTCTTAGTCAGCCAGACAATGTAACTCGCTTGCTCAAACCCTCCAATGTCTTCTAGCTGTTCTCAGAACCAAACCCAAAGGTCTTACCATTGGCCCACAGGCCCCCTGCTGCCCAGCTCTGACTGCCCCCCCCCCCCACACTGAGCCCATTGCTATTCCAGCCTCAGGGCCTGTGCACTTTCTCTGTCTAGGGCCTGGCCCTTTCTTCCCCTGTCTATCCTCATACCTGTACCCTAACTTCATTCATGACCCTGCCCCAGCGTCACCTGCTATGAGAAACCTTCCCTGATGCTCTAAAATACCACTCCTCCCAGTGTCATCCTCTTCACCTGATCCTGCCAGGCTTTTTCTTCACTGCACCCATCACCTGACACATTATGTATTCACTTACTGCGTTTATTGTTTTACATATATATGCTTTGCCCAAGCATTAGCTGTCTATAGCTTTCCGTCTTCTACTCATTATTTATTCACTCATTTATTCCAGCCTGCTTGGTGTTGGCCAAAGGGCTAGACGTGACCATTCTGTGATGCATTAAGGCAAGAGGTTCTTTTTGCTCAGGACTATATTCCCTGAGCATAACAGCTATGTGATAAATTACATGATTAATGAGTCAGTAACCATCTTTGCATACGGTCAGTTTCTGCTCTGCAGGGGACCTGCCTTTGCACAAAGCGGGGTCCACCCACGGCTAGAGCCACAACCTTCCCTGTTATGCTGTTTTTTCACCCAGGGTACAGATCAAAGACCTTCGACTCCTTCAGGTCTGCCTTGAGAATTCCCCTAACTTCAAGGGGGTCAAGTTACGGACACCATTGGCATTTTCCATACAAATAAAGTAAGTAACAGCTGCAAGTCACTGGTAATCCGCGGATGTGTGGGTGTGGGAAGCAGCCATAACTAAAGGGTGTCCAGTGGAAGTCTCATTGTTGGTTGGGGCAAAAACACCCTCCCTCTCCGGGCCTGGGCCACTCTCTCCAGTAGGATTAGAGCATGGGAATACCTGAATGCTTCCAAGCTGGGGCCTTTCTAGGGAAAGCAGAGCAGGTTGAGCCGGTTTCCTTTCTCTGCTTTATCCAGAAAGCCCCACCCTCATTTATTTGGACTTCCTGAGCCCACCTAGCTCGGACTGAATACAACTTGAGACAAGGACACAGAATCTGCTCTAGACCCCAATGCCCCTTGGCACCATTGCCTAGAGACTGTGCACAGATGTGTTTTGTTCGGTCTGCACGGTGCATCTTCAGGGAGAACAGGCATTCTTCGGTTCATCCCAGCTGTCACCCCTCTCTGTGAAACCAGTCCCTGGTCTCCCTTACTCATTTCCAGCTCAAGCCTGGCCCTGGAGGTCACGGAGTTTGTGACCTCTAGAAGAGTACTTTCCAAAGTCACAGTTTCTCAGTTTTGATAGGATCCTATACTTGGAATCAACCGTTTCCTTTCTAACTGTCCCTTGAGCCAGAGGTAGGGGGTATCAGTTATACACCCTGAACACAGACCTACCTGGCCTCACCACTGGCTGGATGCACGACTTGGAGAAAGCCATCCCCGTTCTCCCGAATCGCCTCTTTTGAAAAATGAGGAAATGATCTTCACAGGGTGATTTTTGAGGGTCCTGCACAAACATGGGGGAACTCTCATTCTGGAAACAAATGGCAGGAATTAAGCCCTAAGACTCTCCCACCAGCCTTCATTCTTCCCTCCCACAGGTTTCTGGCTCTTAATCCCTGCATATTCCATGTACGGACAGATATGAGAGTGCAGCTTTATTTGGAGAAGGGTGAAGACAGCAAATACCAACTTGCCTTTGGGCATTGCAGGATTGCAATCTGGACCAATTATTCTCATTTTTACAACTTTTCTCTTCAGTAGGGATTTTCAGCAGAAAATCCCATGGATGCCATTCTCTTGACTACCAGTAAAGCAAGGATTTTACCATCTGTTCATTGGTCTGTGATACCTCCTCTTCAGAGTAACTGTTTTCAGAGGTTTGCCCTTTTACTAAGTGTTATCTTCTAAACTTATAATCTCTTTTTTACAATCTTCTTTATAAGATTTTTTAAAATTTAGGCTCATGTCCATGATTAACTGAATCCAATAGTCATCACCAACCTATTGTACACTGGGTCTTTTTCATTCGTGATTTCTTTATTTTGATTCATCTCCCAGTTGCTCACTTGATCAAGAAAGATCTGAGTGTGGAATCCTTTCTGAACTCTTACACGTTTGGTAATGTCCTTGTGTCCTGTTCCAGATAAGGACACCCTTGACTCACAGCCATTTCCCCCAGGGGAAATTCTGTCAGTGTGGCTCTGTGTCTTTTTTTGTCTTTTGAGATGCTGAAGGAAACTAGTCTTTCTTTTGAGGGAAATCTGAATCCTCAGGCTGGAAGTGGTAGATTAGCTGATTTATATATAAAGCAAACACTTGGCCTGAGAATGAGATTTACCCTTACCTGTAAGGATTATGGACTGAGTCAGGAATCTGAAGACACATTTACACTGCTATCTCCCCGCTTCTTTCTCCTCTCCCCCAACTGAAGAATATTACACTACTCCTTCCATGAAGGCATGACCATTGGGCTAAGGAGAAAAGTTCTGTTGGAGCATTAGATAATGAGAGGAACAGGAAAATGCCGGAAAGAGAGTGATCAGGACCTAAAAGCGTGGCAGAAGCTGAAGAAGGCATTCCAGGAGAGAAGAACAAAATAGGCAAGGAGAGGGAGGTCATGGGAAACAATGATGAGGGCAGGGTGATTTCAATTGAAAGATTAATTTTAAGAAGCCCTAAGATGTAGGTTGGAGCAGAAGGGCAAGGCTGGGTCATGGAAAGCTGTAGAAACAAGGAGACTTTAAATAATGTGGGGTCAACTAAGCACATAAGTGATGTAAAGAAAGGAGAACTGGGGAGAATTTAACCTGTTCTACTTTCATTCTTCATTTAGCGTCACCCCAATGAAACAAATTATTGTGGAAAATGTAGATAGAGTCCTGAGAGACCTGATAATCAATAATTTGGGAGCAAAAGTAAGTTTATAAACCCAAACTACTTCAGTTTTTTAGTCTAAGACCCAGAGCTTGGGTGGACTATATCTTCTTAATAAACTGGAAGGAAATCGGGGCACCTGGGTGGCTTAGTCAGTTAAGTGGCTGCCTTTGGCTCAGGCCATGAGCTTGGGGTCCTGGGATTGGGGTCCTGGGATTGAGCCCCACATCGGGCTCCCTGCTTGGTGGGAAGCCTGTTTCTCCCTCTCCCTCTGCCCCTTCCCATAGTTCCTTCTTCTCTCTCTCTCAAATAAATAAATAAAATCTTTAAAATATATCTATATAAACTGGAAGTAAATCTTTCAGAAGGAGAGTTAGGGAGAGAAGAATGGCATTTATCAAGTTCCCATTCTGCAACCAGCATTGGTAAAGTGCTTTACAGATATTATTTAATTCTTCAAGTCAAAATCAGCATCTGTGTGGCTGGAGATAAGTTGATAAGCCTCTCCAAGACTCAGTTTCCTTATCTCTAAAATAAGTATAAGTAATCATAAAATGAACAGCTAATATTCATTAAGCACACGGGCACTGTGCTAAGGATCTTACATGAATTTTCTTATTCTCCAAAACAATCTCATATTCTAAATAACAGTATTATCTCCATTTTCCAGATTTAAGAAAAAGTTCCAGAGATGGCCAATGACTTACCTAAGTCACAGAGCTGCCAAATAGCTCAGCTGACATGTGACCTCTGGGCAGTCTGTCCCCCCAACCCCCCTACTTGCTTGTTCCCTAAGATAAATTGTCTTAGAAGGAGAACTTGCCTTGACTGCCCCCTGAATATTCAGCCTCCATTGGTGAAGCCCTCCTCCTGACTCTTGCATACTTTCTTGTCTTTCAGACGTGTACCTTCATTAATTCGCATCTTTATAATCTGAATCCGCAAGTGACTAACAAACTGATTAGTAAGTGCTGGTGATGAGAAGACAGAGGACACCCCAGGACAAAGCTCAGACTCCTCCCTCACCCTTTACATCTCCTCTCCCCTGACACTTCTCCCAGACAAAACATCCTGGCCTCCATGAGGCAGAATGGTCCCTGCTAATAACGATCCTCATAAACTCAGGGACTGCTTGCTGAGGGAGTCCTGGGCACTACGCCCAGGGTTAAGCACTCTGCCTGCACTGGCCATTGAACCTCCACCACTAGCCAAATACAGGCTGGTTTCAATCCCATTTTGGTCCCAAAGCCTAGAGAAGCTGAGATATAAATGGGAGCTTCTCTGGGGAAGAAAAGCTGCCTGATTTCTCCTTTACCCTTCTAGATTGGATGGTGTTGCATAATGAGCAGAAAATTGGCCTGGTTTCAGCCCAAAGACTGCTTCCTTCCGGTAGTCTCTACCTCCAGGGACCCAAAGTTTCCAGGTCCAGAAGCCGAAGCAGGCAGCTGGGAATCTGAATCTGAAAACCAATGGGAATCTGAAAACCAATAGAATTTTCTGGGCTGAAAGGACTCTTCCTTCATTCACTGAAGATTCATTAGTCCTATTAAGTGCCAGCTGCTGGGGTTTCTAAAGTTCCTTCAAATATCTCTCCCAGCAAGCAGTTTTCTGGCTTCTGCTCACATACCTCCACTGACAAGGAGTTCACTATTTATGAAGTAGGAAGCTTGAGGCAATTAATCTGAATGAGTCTTAAAGCTCCCAAAGTGCAGGTCCCAGATCCACCCAAAGTAAATGTGAGTGGGGCAGCTTGACCAATACCCTCACTCCACTGATATTGGGCCACCATTCTGGAGACATGGCCAGGCAAATGGGGACCAGCTGCTGTAATGTCAACTCCCTCCACGGTCTTGTTTCAATGTATAGCTCTTAAGTTTCTAGCTTGGGAGGGAGCAGTTCTTCCCAACTTATGGATGAGGAAAACAAGGCCCAGAACTGTCAGTGAAGTGATCAGAGATGCCAGCAACTAAGCAGAGCCTCCAGCTCCAGCCTCATGTCTCCAAATGGTTGGCTCATTCCCTGACCCTGCTCTGCCCCCATGTGGAGCAGAAGAAAACTCCTTCGGCCTCTCTGATCCTCCTTTACTCCCACTGTCTAAGGTATCTGTTTTGCCTTCTAGGTCTGCTGCTGCAGCAGGGCAGATACCAAGCCACCATCCAAATATCCCCAAAGTAAAGGAGCCACGGTTGCACCAATCCAGTGAGAGATCAGAGCATATTTCCATTCCTTAGTGATGGCACTTGGCCTTTAGGGTCATTATAAATGAGTCATTCATTCATTCTTAAAATTTCAATGAAGCTTCTACTATGTGCTAACTGCTAGGGATATGGCCCTGAACAACACAAGACTGTTCTCCTGGAGTTTCTATCCTAGTTGGGTGTACTGACAATGAACTAGGAAATAAATGCAAAGTCAACTAAATTTCAGAGGATGGTGGGTACTGTAAAGGAAACCAAGTACGGTGTGAGAGAGTGACGGGTGGGGGCAGGGAGGGAGGCATCAAATTAAGAGAGTAGAGTCAGGCAGAAGGCTCTGTGAGATCTTTCGGCTGAGCCATGAACGATAAGGCAGGAGTTGTGCCAGGACCGAGGGGAAGAACACCACAGACAGGAGGATGAGCATGTGCAAAAGCCCTGAAGCAGGAATACGTTTTCCTTTCAGAAGCAAGAAAGGAGAGCAATGTGACTGGGATGTGGAAGGGGCTCAGCCATACAAGGCATCTTTCTGTAAAAAGAGTTTTATTTATGTATTCTGTATTTATTTGCAACTATTCTATGTTGAATACACTCTGCTTAAGTGTTGTCATCTCAGGTCTCTCAAAAAAAGCGTATCTCCCACTCTCTTCCCTCCTTAATTTTCTTCATAAAATTCATTATTATCTGACTTTTTACTATACTGTTTCTTTTCTGTCTCCACTACGGAATGTATATTTCATGCAAGCAAGGACTTTTTCTTATTCCCTGTTGTATCCCAGGTACCAGCATTACAAAAATGAATTAGACATAGCCCTAAGCGTCCCCAGCCTAGTAAAGGATCAAACAAATAAATAGGCAATTTTATATGCAGTAAAGTGTTCTGGTTGGGAGACTGTGGAAGCAGAGGCTAGATCCAGCAGCACTGCCTGGGGACTTCCACAAGGGCTTCAAGAGGACGCAGGATTTAAACTGGATGTTGAAGAATGATTAAGAGTTTTCTTTATGGGGAAAAAAAAACATTAAAAGCAGAGGATACATGATGTGCAAATACACAGGAGTAGGAAAGGACCTGATGCTCTGAACAATGGGCAGAAGCTCTAGGTGACTGGTCATAGGAGTCATGGAGGATGGAGGCATGGGTGGTAAGGATAAGTTTGTAGCAAACTATACACATGCTTTCTGAGAACAAGGGTTCATGTGATGGGTTGAGCTACCAAGAAGAAGGTGCAGTCCATGAAAGGAAACGTAAGAAATTGAATGGCCAACACTATAATTGAATCTATGTCTTTGGGTTGATAGTTCAGTTATGTAAGATTCTTTTTTTTTTTTTTAAGATTTTATTTATTTATTTGAGACAGAGAATGAGATAGAGCATGAGAGGGTCAGAGGGAGAAGCAGACTCCCTGCCGAGCAGGGAGCCCGATGTGGGACTCGATCCAGGGACTCCAGGATCATGACCTGAGCCGAAGGCAGTCGCTTAACCAACTGAGCCACCCAGGCGCCCAGTTATGTAAGATTCTAAACTAATGCTGTCCAGTAGAAATATAACACAAAATACACATGTAACTTAGAATTTTCTAGTGATGAAATTTTTAAAAGGAAAAGGAAACAGATTATATTTATAGCAACATATTTCATTTGTCAAATATATCCAAAATATTATCATGTCAACATTTAATCAATATAAAATTATTAATGAAATATTTTACCTTCTATTTCTTGTGCTAAGTCTTTGATATCTGGTGTGTATATCATACTTACAGAACATTTCAGTTTGGACTAGTTGCGACTGAAGTGCTCAACATCCATGTATGGCTAGTGGCTGCCATACTGGACAATGCAGTTCTAACTAACTTGCTGCCAGTTGCAGCACTTTGAAAAGCCTAGAGCATCTCATTTTATACCCACCAATATATCTGGGCTGCCATCTATCACTGCAGCTCTAAACCATGTCCCCATGTCATATTCAGTCTACATATTTGGTTCAACCTAGAAAGTACTTTGTAAGTGTGACTATGTTGCCAATATTAAAAGTAAGAAATATGTCCTTTGATCAAGCAGGACATTTGGCAGTATTTTACATCCTTGTGTCATGAAGTAAGTCAAGGTGACAAGGAAAATCCATCGTAGTTGATGAGAGACAGTACCGGGAACAGAATTTTTTATCCAGGAATAGGCAGTGGCTGGATGTCCAGACCGGAATATGGTTCAGCACCATGGATAGTGGACAGCAGTACAGGGAAGTGAGCTAGGGGAGAGGAAGAGGCTCTCAGCTCTGGTTTACACCCTCCTTAAAGAGAGGTACGAGGTTGACTAATATCTTTAGTATATCACACAGAATCAGGTCCCGCTTGCTGATCTCCTCCTTGGAATGTCCTCCACACTCCAGACCATCACCTATATAGATGTTCATGTTGATTATTCAGATGCCGCCTGGAGTTTCTTTACCCACCCTGGACTCCAAGGATCTCCCCTACTTCTCTGGATATAGAGGCTATTTCCCTGTAGCTCCTCACCAGAATCCATGTGCTGATTCCCTGTAATTTTTTCACAATAAACTTGTTTTTTGCAGCTCTGAACTGTGGGATGTCCTGCCTCCGTAGTGCCATGTGGGCGGGGGGGAAAGATAGCCAGAGATGGCAGTGTGCCTGATCATGATGACAAAAGTTTGCAGAGTGGGGGAGGATTCCTAGGTTAATTTAGCCTTTTTCTCAGAAATACTTCAACACTCTGGCCTGGAGTTTCCCAAAAACTAAGGAACAAGTCTTCCTGTCTTGTCTGAGATATTTTCTGGATGATTCTGTGACCTTGGGTAGCTTGGCCACAATCCCCTTACTGTGAAGTGAGAGTTTTGGTCTCATCTAATAGGTCCCTTGGCAACCTGCAAAGTTGTGGTTTATGTAAGAAAACTTCTCTCGGCCCTGATAATCCCATTTTTCTTCCCACTATCACCAAACTTCTCAAGAGAGATACTGCTATCCATTGTTTCTACTTCCTCACCTTTATCCAGTGCTCAATTTTGGATAATCTGGCTTATGCCCCCAACTCAAAGTAACTTACTTTAGGTCATCTATGACTTCCTTCATGGCCAACACCAGTGAGCCCTTATTCAGTGTTCATGTTCCTCAAGTCATTAGCAATTAACTTTGCATGACCACACCAAACTGCTCCCCCTCCTCTTTTTCTCCTTATCACTACCTTGATTCACGCCTGGCACCCTTCTGTGCATACATACATTACATCACTTACTCTTTTAAATAAATTGTGGTGGTTGTTAAGCTTTTATCTCTTGGTTACATATCTATCTTTCTGTACTCTGTTTTGCAGTGCTGGGTCTGGGACTCTGAAAACCACCTATCTTCTTTACTGGTTTGCTCCTTGTTAGGATCCTTTACTAGAGGAAGATTGCAAGGCTGAAGGAGGAGAAAAGAAAACTCTTCTTTCCTGTTTGCTTCCTCTTCCTCTAAGCATCACCCAGCAATGGCTTTTCACCCAATCAGGGGAAGTTGGTTTCAGTTTACAAGTTGTTGGTTTTTGTTTTTGTTTTTTTAATGCTCCAAAACCAGCTTTATTATGTTCCTCAGAATACTGCACCAGTCAACAGGAGCCCCTTTCTCAGAAGTCTACTTCCCAGTTGCATGAAGTTTCTCCTCCAAGATCCTTAAAAAAACTATAACTTGGTTCAGATCTCAGCATGCTCCAAGGGGACAAGAATAAAGATTAAACAACTTAGATACTCAAAATAATTACTTTTTTTGTTAATTTATATCAGCAGACATGGGGAATATGTATAGCAACTGATGTGAAAATGTTAGGGTTCAGGAGCGAATGGTCAAGAAAGAATTCTTGAGATGTCTTCAGTGCAAAAAGGTAGTTTTATTAAAGCATGGGGACAGGACCCGTGGATAGTAAAAGCTTCACTGGGGTTGTGAGGAGTGACTGATTATATACTTTCAAGTTGAGAGGGGTTATGGATAGCTTAAGTCTCTAAGGAATTTGGAAGCAAAGTTTCCAGGACCTTGAGGGACTAGCTGTTGTTAGGAAAAGGTCATTTACTACTGTCTAGTAAAACCCTAGTCCAGAGACTCTTCAGATGTATAGCAGTGGGCCATATGCTTGGAGAATGATGGCTAACATATATCTTGGGGGATAGAGATAATGGAAGTTTCCAAAGGGATTTTTATATGTTAAAGATTTACAGGATCCTGGGGGTTAGGCTACTGTTAGGTTAAGGTTGCCTTTTGCCTCTAGCAAAGTATTAACATCAAGGCCGCTAAACTGCTTGAGGAAGGTCACTCTGCCAGTCCCAAGTACTTGTCAATGGGCTGTAAGTTATAAGGAAGTTTAATTCTTTTTCTTTTGCCTTTATTCTCTGATGAGGGAGCAGAAGGCTAGCTGAAGACAAAGCACAAGCTGACACCTGCAACCTCCCCCCACCCCCACTCCTGGGTGGGACATGTGTGACATTCTTCCCAACTATCTTAATGTTAATACCTTGCTAGTGGGGAAAACAACCTTAACTTGACAATGGCAAGGTCTCCAGTATCTTGTAGGTCCTCTTTAGCATATGAAAGTTCTTTTGAAACCTCCCTTTTCCTTACTTCCCAACTCCTGAGAATATAATCACCACTCCTCACAATCCCGGTGCAGCAGCTCTTTCTGTCCTCCAGTCCTGTCCCTGTGCTTTAATAAAACCACCATTTTGCACCAAAGACATCTCAAGAATTCTTTCTTGGCCCTCAGCTACAGACCTCACCCCACCAAACCTCACCTATATTCCAAAACCACATCATTCTCCACATCAGCAATTGATTCTAAATATGTTAGACCAAATAAAATATAAACTGGGTTGCTCCTAATTAATGGATGGGTACCTTCATCAAAGATTCTGGATTTAATATTAGATCACACAGCTGAAAATGGCTTTGATAACTTATTGTGTTGGTTACTGGAAAATAAACTCAAAAATGGCCTTCATTC